ACTGCCATTTACAACAATGCGATAATGAGCCTGCCAGTAGAGATTCTTGTGAACGAGGTCTAACCGCGGGAATATTGCGAAAACGTCTGGATGAAGATCAACAATGTCAAGGTATCTCTCCTTCTCCTCGTTCAACGACTCTACCCAAACTTGGCGTGGTACCATGCCGCGAAACGAGCAGGTGACTGGGGGCGAAAGGGTTCGTGGAGCCATTACTGCGGACGACAAAGACGGAGGAGGCTGCTTGGGGGGTCGGATAGTGCGCTCGATTTCTTGTAAATCATCAGATCGGTCGCTTCGCCCGCGGCTGAAGAGAGAACTCACGTATCGCGAAGTGCAGGAACTCGCGGCCACTAAGGCAGTCTGAAAGAAGATAGGCGCAGCCTAGCACTTAAAAGTGAAGCACATCTTGAATTCAGGGAGTTTTGGGAAAGTACGAAGCCTAGCCGACTTCAGCCGAAGAGAAAAAGGGTTTACAGGCAACTTGTAGATGACAACTGACTGCAACTACACATGTATATACATACACACCTGCAAATGCCAACTGGCGCATCCCGCGGCAAGAATCATGGGCACAGTGCGTCAAAATGCACTGCGCTTTTATTGGTTGGTTTCGGAAAAGACAATTTTTTAAATAATGCTTTAAACAAAAAATTATGTAATGCATTAAGTTAATTTTAAAACATCTATGGGTGCACAGGATTTGCAAAGACCTTAAACGTTGATTTTTAAAAAGTTATAAAGATAGAAACTATGGAAAGAGGTTTTACTTCAACCCCAACGTCTTGCAGGTTTGAAAATTGGGATTTGTTTGGAAAGGGTACTTTATGGTCCGGTGTTTTTAATTCGAATTTTTAAACCTAACTTTTTAAAACTGCTGACGTTTTAAATTTTTTGGGCAGAACTCCTTCTGGTTAAGAGAAAAATGCTGAGAACATTAATGCAGCGTCCCGAGGCTTCCCTGAAGAGGAAAGAAGACACAATGCTCGGACAGAATATATATTCAGCACAGAGAAGGTGTATGGACTACTAACATGGCTCGAAGGCCAGCTCACATAGCAAGGTACAAGAAGGCTAATTCAAAGTCCTAATGTGTCCCCTCACCAATACCGAGGGATAAACCACCATCGTATTACATCAGCATGATTGCATTTTGAATAACTGTGAGCTTGTTTGCTTCATTGTTAACAGCCCAGCTGATACAGATATCTTTGGTCATGCGAACACAGGAGCACTGTCACTTTAATTTAATTCAGTGCCATGCACAGGGTTACATGTACGACCGCACACACTAGCAGCACTGTAACGGATTCAGCGCCTTTCTCTACTATCTCTGTTTTGGTACTCTTGAAACGAGTAGATTAGTTCAAGGAAAACAGCTTTCATTTTAGGAAATGTTGTAAACATGTACAGGAAATCAAGATTGTAGATGGACAGGTTACCTTTTTTTCCTTAAAAGGCATCAGCGTCAGCTCAGTGACGAGGCTAGTGTATGCTGATCTAATCTCATCTTAAAGGCATATCGAAGCAAATGAATATTGCACAACCTTTATCTTTTTGAGCATCATCCTCGATGTTATCTTAATATGCTATATCCGGTGGACACCAGCCCTTAGTTATTACGCGAACTTTACATTTGTATCTGACCGGGGGCATGCCTTTGTACTGCGCATTTCGTTGTGATGAAGCGCGATCGGTTGAGTACGGAGTTGCGCATCGCAGATGAAGGCGTTTGTTGGTGAGGTAAATTTTATCACCCGGGATGCATCACTGCTTCACGAATGATGGAACTTGCGGCGCAATTCAGGTGTGTGTGTGTTCTAATAACTCCTCCTCCTCCTCCTGATGTATAACAATTGGAAATCTCCCCCTGTGATGTTGGAAGTTTGTTTCAGACCTTCCTTCAGTGGTGGGACGTACTCTGAGACATTGTTGATTGCTACCTTCGTGCTTGATAAGAAAATATCAGTTGGTACTTCAAGCAGTTTACGACCTGGGAGCATCCTGAACGTTGAGACAGCAGTTGATGCATGGACTGTAGCTCTACAGGCAAGAAGGCCACATTCAAGGCTTAGAATCCGGTACCTTGACTGTACATCCTTATTGAAGGCCTTCATCATCCAATTAGAGTGCGATCTGTTCTTCTCAAGTCTCCATTATCTTGCGGATGTTCAGTTGTTGTGCGCGTCTTAGAGATCCCGCCTTAACCGCCGTGTCCCATTTCTGACACTCCATATTGACAAATCCACCGATTGACGAAAACTGAGGCAACCGTCTCAGAAACTTGTGCCTACATAAGTTCTGCCTCAGGTACTTTCATGAAGTAGTCTACCATAACCAGAATACATCTATTTCCCCTCTCGGCGGGTGCTAGAAAAACCATGATGTCAGTGCCTACTCTTTCCCCTAGAAATCCTGTGGGCGCAAATTTGAGTGGTGCAATTGCTATGAGGTGAGACCTTATAAAAATGCTCCAAGAAACGCAAATTTGATAGGAATCAAGTTCATCTTAAGTGGACAAATGCCACTAGTACCTTTCGCTCGAGGGATCCGGTATCTTTTTTCCTCTACTTAGTCCATTTTTTGTGTAACTTTTTGAAAACTGTTTGTACCAATGAGCCAAGGACCAATAGGGACTTGGGTTCACCAGCTCCATCTTGGCACAATGAAACCTCATCCCCTAGGAGTGCTTTCTACCATTTATTGCCCGACGAGGCAATGTAAGAAACTCCTCCTACACCGGAGCCTTGATATTTTGTGGGTTGGATCAAAAATATGGTACTCATGGGAACACCGTCAGTTTCTGCAACGCCTGGTCTGTGAAGACGAGACATCTGGGTTACTATTTGACATCATTTTGAGAGCCATCTAACGTGGTCGCTGTAGTTACTCTCCAACTCTATCTCCAAAACTCTTCTTCTGAAGTACACCATATGCGATTGGATCCAGGAAGGAATTGATTCAATGGACATTGTGGAGTCACTTTGACGCCTTATTTAACTCTGGAAATGAATACTTGGACATTTAAGGCGCCGCAGATTGTACTTTCGCCCGGCGCCCCAGCTCTTCTGGACGTTAGTAATGCACTTTCTGACATACTTCCATGCGTTACGACTTCTGGACGAACTTTTGTTACGAGTGCCTGTAAACACAATCACCTGCAGCAGACGCCTTCCTCCTAACTTATTCTCCATAGATTTCCCAGTGTTATCAGCAGTGTATTACCCAAATTGTCTCAGAACACGTTTTCCTACACACTGGTGTCAAAATAGTTTGCTTATAAACAAGGGGAAGGAATGTAAGGCTAGGAGCGTGAGCCTAGGTTCATTTCACCACTGTAACGATTGAAGTGAGGAGGGCTAGGAAGACTCTCGTGACCCATGCTACACTCAAAACAAACGCCATCCTATTGTAGTGCCCCACGAACATAAACAATGATGGCAAAGACAGAAAATACTCATTAATGTCGCCTTGGAGTAACAGTAGATAGGCACACACACTGCAACATCGCAAATATTTCTATTGAAGAAAGAATAATACAAGTAATAATCCAACACTTTCGGGGTTTTAAATCACAGTGAACGACAGTGGGCCAGTTTCTGAAGTATGAAAGACTTTTTGGGGGGGTTTTAGAACATATTTAGTCGTCTGTTCCTGTGCGAGATGGCCAAATATCATCACACTCATCCGTGAATTGCGCCAGAGTCGGTGTCAGACCGCACAAAAATGTCATGTAGATAACCAACTCCGAGTTAACCAAACTGAATCCAAGGGAAACAAACTATCACCGAATGACGTAAATTGGGAAAAAAAATGGTAACCAAGAATTCAAATATCTCACCCCTGTTTCGGACCCCCATCAGGGAATAATGCAAGATCCGTCAACCGTTTCCGTAGAGAAGCTTTAAATTCAATGTGAACCCGAAGAAGTAGATTCTGGAAAAAAAGGATTGAATCAGGAATGGCAACTTTTATAAAAAGTTACAGATAACACCTTACAGTGAGCATGTCAGAAGAGAGTATGACACCAGTGGATTCGGTGAGTTTGGATATGGACTGGAAAACTGATCGCATTTCAGCGGTGGGATTCGGTGGTTGCGGCTTCCATGACTGCATATGCCTGGCGATACGAGCGGCCAGCAAATTGGTAAGCTTATCCATCACCTTGGAAATGTTAGATCTACAACAGCAGGGCTAGATTACGCGCTTTATCCTTATTACCGGACCTTGTCTTACAAATAAGGAGTAAGTGGGATACTGAAAGTAGCTCACGATAAATAAACACATCCACGCACCGAATAGCCTGTTCCACGGCCAGAAAAGGATCTGACAAGCGCGAAGCTTCTGTCCTCTTCGTTGATGTATTCGGTTCACCTACCTTTCCCTGAAGCGATTTGAATTGGCTGCATAAACAAGAAAGACGGGTGTTGTGTTGAGACAGAAAAGCTAACGTTTGAAGACTTAATAGGACTTACATTCGTTCGAAAAATATTCGTACTATTGGAATCAATTCAAGTACATATTCCAGGCTGCGTACGACGAGAGCCATATTCCGAGCCGAGATTTTCTTCAAACCTATGCTTTGGCAAGCTCCTGCGCCTAACACTAATTCACAGCTTTTGGCGTTGAAAAGCTGGAACAAAAGCAAACAGTAAGAGCAATAAATGGTCATGCTTGAATGTTTAGCGAATCCTTGTGTCTGCAACTCAGCTCGTGATGAAAAAGGCGGCCACTTAAATAGTGTTAAGGGTGTAATACATTAACGTCAGAACTTAAAATGAAAATGTGGCGATGTGGGTACTTACAGTAAGGAAATTGGCCAAATTCACTTGAATATCGCGAAAGAGGCTGGGCCAGGATGCTAGCCGTTCGCTGAATCGTAAGTAATCCAGGAGGAGGGGAATGACGGTGAATATCGTTTCCACAACAACGTAAGTCTCTTCCCGAAGCACCAGTTTGGTGCCAGCAGTAGCAGCATGCGCCTTTTCATCCACCTTCGACTTCCTCAGCTGCATGAACGAATAAAACATGCTAACTAAAAGAGATGCAAAAGCGCGTCTTCTGAACAACCTATCACCGAAATACCTCATGGCAAATAACCAGGTGACTCAAAAGACCAGAAAGTGAAGGATCGAGACCCTTTTCAGCTGGACACCATGTTTCCTGATCCAATTTCTGCTTCAGCGTTTTGCAACGGTCTTCGTGGAAGCTCTGGATCAGTAGAGCAGCCTCTGTTGCCACTAGATTTCGCAGCACTGTCGATTTGCTTGTTAGTGGCAGATCGGGCCGATAACAGTGCCAGGCAGAAGCAATAGCTCTTTCCTATAAAGTGGATGGAGTGATCGGTAGACTGAATTGGTGGAAAAGACACTGACGGGTAAGAGGACAGTTGGGTGAATGGGTCTGGGCCAAATGGATAAATAGCTCAGGAAACGAAGTCATGACACGATGCAATGTATCAGCCTACGTGGAAGTCTTCAATGAGTTCAGCAAATGCAACAAAATCCTCGGAGGCAGAGACTGGTCGATTCTGCACGCGAATTTGACGAAAGTGGGTGGTTATGAGAGTTGCAATCTCAATTTGCGATCGTTCCGCAGATTTCCAGTAAATGCGACGTAATTGCTCACCCTGTTCCATCACTGCCGAGGCGATTGACTCAACTACCGTCTGTAAGGAAAATAAAAGCTAGATCAAAAACAGTCCCGATAAGGTATCTAGGAGGTAGGAGGGACGGATACTTGGAAATCAGCTGTAGCAACCAGGAACTCAATCTTCAAGACTAACTATCTTGATACCTTTGCCCGAAAACTGCACTATAACGTCGCAGAAGTAAGGCAACAGTTTTGGATGATTGAGAACGTAGAAATTATCGGAGGATTGTCAATAATAAACCGACTTTTGCAAAAAAATTAATGTCAAGTATTATAGACTAGTCAGGAACAAGCAGAACCAGTCTAAAGCCGAGCGAAATAGACAGACCTATTGAAAGCCAAGTGATGGTACGATCTTTACCGCTGCCTGCAGCGTGAGCCCCAATACTTTCAGGCATCAAACTCAAAATCCCAAGGTGTCTAAACTTAAATTAACACGACCGAAGAGATAAGGATGAATTATTTGCTCATTTGATGAACAAATGAAATTACCGGCTAACAAGTTTACACTTTGACATACCTTCACACGAAGTAGAACCTGTTCGACGGCAAGGCAGACGGTCCGTAGATTGTTCAACCAAACGCCCAAAGGCTCCTTTTCTATAGAATCGACCGAAAGACTTCTGCTAAAAGAGACTAAAAGTTTATCAAAACCCATCAAAAAAGAGAGCAAAGTAATTTGACAATTCATCACAACAAAAGACCTGGTGCTTTCTTGAGTATGGCCATTTTCACCGGGTTGGAGAATTCCGCGAAAGCTTTTCAAGGTATCGTTAAGGGCTTTTTGGACCTCTTTCTCGACGGTCGAGACGAAGCCCGTCTGTCCAATCCTAATTAGACCCAAAACGATCGGAAGAAGCACCTGCATTCAGATACAAAGTGTACTAATAGATATTAGGCAAAACGTGCTGTAGCAGATGGTGGCTAGGAAAAGAATCTAGCGATTTTATGTATTTACAAGAAGCAGAAATTCTCCACGAAATAAATTTCCTGCGGAGAGATAAGCCTGCAGAGGGCCTGCAACATGTGCCTTAATAGGAATTTGGAGTCCTTGTAGCCAAATTAGGAAGGATTCGGCTCATGGCTTTCCTTCATGTCCTCTAGTCAGTCTCAATTTATTTCAAGCACATGCGCTAGCCGAATGAGACCGTGTGGCAGATCTTTTCAGTATTTCACAGGAATCTATGTTACTAGTCACCCAATTCCTCTGCTTGCACGTTATAAGCTCACTGCTGGACTCGTTTGCCTTATAATATACTTGGGGATACCTCAGGATACCCAATATATACCGAGAGATAGAAACGACACTTTGGAGTAGGTTCAAATTAAGTTATAGAGAGTCGGTGTTAGTAACTGAAATCACAAATTTATAAAATAGTAGTGCTACTACCAAAGCATCGCGAGTCTCCACCTACGAGGAATGAGTCACAGTTGCTTACCTCAGAGACGCCAGCGTCAACAGCCTCATTGGGAGGCGAAGTGAGGAAGGAGCGCAACGCAGACACAAATTCAGTACCGACCATGGCGTTGATGAATTTGGCAATCTCCGTCAACTGGGCGTCCAGATGACGTAAACAGACGACACCACCATTACTATCGCAAGTACCAGCATTATTGATAGCAAGGAGGGATTCGCGGGTGTTGGTGATTAAATCAAGGGCGGAGCAGAAGTCGTTCGACTTAAGGAGAGATTGGATTGTGGGCTGAGCAGCGTGTACGGAAGAGATCACTTTTAACTAAATGCGGAAAATGGAAAAGAGGGAGTAAGTGTGAGATACTTGAGTAGTAGTAAGTAATATGTAATATGGAAAGACAGCACCTTCCCACATAACATAAGCGTGAAGTCGATCCAGGCAGGCATTTAGGGAGCATTAGAATAACAAATGAGGTACAATAGGGTGGATTCATTAGAACACAACAAGGAAGACGCACCTTCGCAAGAAGCATCTTCAGATTCCTTCGCCGACGAGCCAATCTGGCAATTTGTCCGGCCCCACGACAGTATATTGCGTCCACCTCCTCCAGTCGTGTCCTGAAAGTAGTCACAGCCGAATAAAATTTTTCATTTCGAGTGGATTGCGACCCCTACTAGATATTACTAAAACTTCTTCCGCATTTCCAGCTCTTCAAACCTCCGTTGTTAACAATGGTAGTTGATGTTTCAAAGAAGAACCACGCCTGAATAAACAGGATCAGTTAGGTCCTACCCGTGGAATGTTATAGAGGCAAGCCATTTACTGTAGAAAGACGAATTGGTGAAGATTCACGACAGAAGGACTACAGATGCTATGCCAACTTTTGACAGTTACCCCGATCTTAGATCCTGCATTACGCTAGCCATTGTACACTCCCTGAGCAGCATGGCCTTCGGACCATGGCAGTAGCCCCTCATCCCTTCTCTACATCGGCAGTACATTTTCTGTTTTAGTATTATAACTTCCTTTATCTTCAGAAAAGACTCGGAGCGCTACACTACGTCGCAGCCTTTCTCATTGTCCTGCAAGATGGTTGTCACACGTTTGGCCTAGAAGTCTACTCATCCCACCCAGGCCACAAGTACCCCAGTCTGCATTCACGGTTTTTCAAACACTAGCAATGCAAATGGATCGAAAGTAGTGAAGCAATATACGACTTACCGCACGGCATTGAGCCGAGAGATGGTTTGACTCAGTTGATCCTTTATCACGTCGTGTGCACGTACAGCTTCAAAAAAGGCTGGGGAACGCTCGGACACCTAAAAAATTGAACACCAATGGCCAGTAAATAAAGACATAAAGGCGAAGAAGAGAGAGTGGGAGTGGTAAGGGTAAAAGGCCACTTAAAACTTAAACGGAGGGAAATAAATAAAGTTGTAAATAAATATTGACATATAAAAGCCCAAACTGGTAAGTGACAGTTAAGTTGACAACTAGGTCAGAGTACATGATACTTTGTCAACGCATGATCTACCTGTTTATCATATCAAGAAAATGAACAAATTTTCAAGCCAAAAAGGGAATTTAAAACCATGGGATGATAGGCTGAATTAGTGCATAATCTCATGGCAAAAAAAAAACAAGAGATTTTAACTGCGTTACAAAGTTTGACGGTAGCTGTTTCCATTACGGTTTCAAGTGGCAGAAAGAGAAACAAAAGCAGACAGGAATAAATCGCGTACGGGGAAAAATTAATAAGACAGGTAGGCAGACCTACATAGATGTGAACGGATAGAAAATGAAAAAATGATAAACAAGTATAGAACGACCACTGACTGACGATAGAATAGTAACAACGTAATGACTTGAATTACTTTTGAATTTCACAGCCAGCAATAACGCGGTCTCGACTAATGAAAAGTAGATAGATTGGAAGGAAGATAAAGGGTAGACAGTGGGTAGATAGGCAGAGGGAACGGAAATAGAAGGATAGCCAAATAACAGACAAGGGAGAAGTTATAAACGGATAGTAAAACGTAAGATAGATGGTGGCAAAAAGGAAGTCACAGACGAACGCACATGGCTGACGATAGCCAATTCGACAGCATCGAGGCATTGGGAAAGTTGATCGCTCTGTTGGGCAAAAATCCCGATCAGATTTGGGCACAGCCTGCGCCGATACAGGGGGATGACGCTGTTGAACGTCTCCGGGGAGGATAAATTAAAATTCGCCGAGCAGTAGACTTTAGCTGACTCCAACTCTAGTGAATCTAAACAACGAATAAACTAAGTGAGCTATTCTGTCCGAGATGCCATTCAACTTGTGACTAATGTCTGACCCAGCAAATTTTTACCTCGTCAGGAAAGAAAAATAGGAGGAGGGTATACTCAGGGGAAACCGTGACTGAAGTGGAAAAGAGTTTCTTGGGTAAAAAGGGACTCACTTGGTTGGGAAGATAAATTTCCAGGAGAACGTGAGGCAGCAGCAGGAATCGTCCGTTTGGCCAACAGTTTCAGGTAAGGGAGAAACTGGTCTTCATTAATCGCGGGTATATGCAGAGGCGGTACAGGCGCACGTTCAAATGCATCGCCCCAGTAACGAGAGAATATATCCAACTGAAAGAAACACCAATTTATTCAGCTTGACTTAGATGAGATTAAAAGTAAAAGATGTTAAAGAAAGACAAAATACATAAAAAGCGATTTAAGAAGAGAGCAGAAAGAACATATACTTGACGGTCGGATGGATCATTGAGAACGGCTGCCATGTTAACAACAGAATCATACTGCATCCATGCATGCCTTGCTAAAATAAATCAGATATTATTAGAGGCACTTTCGGTTTCAATTTAGAAACGAAAGAAACTAACGTGGGCTAAGAACACTCAGTTTTCTAACCGTGTTGGAGCCGACAATTTCGTATTGCCGATAATGTGTTTCGTAACAAGATGACGTTCGTAGTCGTATTCAGAATCGAAAGTCGCTGGCTTATGCGAGTGAGGATGAAGTGTATTCATCTTGTTACATACTCCTGAGGGACCGTATCTGAAAAAGTGTTCGAAGCTTCGCTAATTAAATTCACAACATATCTACCAAGTTACATCATTTTGCCTTGGCTTTGCATAGACAAAGAAATCAAGACCACACATTGAGTCAACTTAAACACGCAAATACCAACTTTACATACGTGCAAGTGAAAACCGTCCGACCATGTTCGATTTTTTTCGCCAAGTGATGATGCGTTATATGCTGTACCAGGCCTTCCTGTGAAGAGAACTTTTGCGTCACAGGCTCGCCAGTCTTCTCGCGCGTTGAGTCTTGTTCACGACATGACTCGCACACCCACGTCCTTTCCATTTTTGCTAGTCGAACCGCGGGAAATATGGGAGAAATTACACTAAGACCATTCCGCACACGCAACAGCAAGTAATGCACACACTCGGCAATACTAAGGTCAAGTAATGACCAATCATCACAGTTCTCTGCTTTCAAAGGACTCAGGTTGCTTATTTGAATAAAAATTCGAGTTATTACTAATTATAGACGATACTCATCTAAAACATTCTTGCACTTACTGTTTTGCTTTATGTGATGGGAAGTATGTTTAAATCAAGCCTCCTAACTTGTACAAACAAATGAGCCGAATTTCGAAATTCGAATGCAGTGAATTTTGGAAAGTTTTATGGGCAATTTGGACTAATTGCTTTAAAGAGCACACTTTGACATTTTGTAGCATTTGCTTAGCCATTCTTTCGATGGTCATGCCGTCACTTCACGAACGTGTCTGCAGTGGCTACACATTTAGTTGCTTCCTCACCTTTTGATAAGCTCAAAACGCATTAAGTGGTCCTTTTTTAATAAGAAAAAATAATTAATTACAAAACTGATTAAGTTTTTGCCCTGACTCTGTCGCATACTTTGAGTTTTGCACATGTAGCAAATATGGGAATGGAAAGATAGAATTCAAGGTATTTCGAGTACTCCTCCCATTATGTGAGTAACTGACCCTGTACAGATAGAATAACTAAATTTGGAAGCCGCCACTAGTGTCAAATCCTCCCTACTAACCTTGGTTTTCTTGCTTGAGGACACTTTCGATCAGCTTATATACCTGCGCTACTGCTATAATTACGACCAAATGGACTGATTCACGCATACACTTCCGTGATCTGAAGGACATTTTACACCACAGGCTCATACTTGAATACCTCTCCCCAGTTTCCGATCAACAGACCGCAGCCCGATTATGTTCCGCGCAACCACAGAACCCATGAGTATCATTGCACTTGGATCCTACACCGATTAACACATAACCATCCCTAAGAAATAAAGTTCGCTTCAATATTCATCAGATATGCTATTAGCAACTGGGCTAGGCAATAACTGATGTTGAATTTGACACCCCATCCACCGACCACTCAGTCGCCTAGTAGCTGCGTCCAAAGAGGGTGTAGAAGACAGCCGGTTTCGTGCAGGGTGGGTGCTGGAGGCATGGCGAGCCATTGGTCACCTGGCCTATCTTCAAACCGCCTAACTCTCCCGCAAAGGGGATACACAAGGACTTAGTACTCATTCAGAGAGCTCTTGGGAGCACCACTGCGCTCCTACAAACAGAAAAGTTAAAAAATCGGTGATGGTAGGTGTTAGAGTGGTGGAGGCACTTTTGAGTAGCGCATGGTAGTCCCTTTATTTTCCCTTCTACTTCTAAATTGGAACTGCTAGATGAAATAGACTGGCTAACTTTTAACAGACATTATGAGTTGCAGCAGCGAGCAACTACCACTAATAGTCCATGTTTTGTGGGAAATCTATGTTTATCTCCTCCATCTCCTTCTTCCCTTTCTTCTCGAGATAAGCGGCGGTTGTTTGTTCACAAAATCCGTTGTAATTCCAATTCTGGTTATTTAATTTAGCTTTACCTTGCATTTCGCCTGAAAGGAACTCCTATCCTAGACTTAACTTTACATGCACGTTACCGGCACAGATACTTGCTCTGTTTTTTGGAGCCTTTGGCTTGTGAGGCAGTTTTAACCAAGGCCAGTGTTACCGTTACTACTACACACTTGGTATTAAACCTGTAGTGTAATTCGACTGCAATAGGTATTTATTAGCTTTAAAACGAGAACTTGTAGAGGCGTTTGGAAAACGGAGAATTTAAGTAGAAGAAGTTGCCACATGCTTGTTTGCACGTGGGGCTTGAACATGTTTCACATTCAGTCCTTCGAATGGTTGCATTCACAAAAACATTGCCACCAGCAGCGATGCCATGACGACTAAAAGAACAATAAAGCATTTATACCTACGGAAGCAAAACGAGTTGGAGTTGAAATCTCTACTGCTGACTTGGCATAAATAAATGTGAGTGTGTTTCTCTAGAGGCACTTAGTGCCACAATAATCATCCATTGACGAGTTTTCCGTGAATTACTTGTCACGCTCCACGTGTCTCATTTCGGACAATGCAAACGAGTGCCTTACCGTGGAAAGCGAGTGTCAGCGCGGGACCTGTGGGATGCAAATATGCAGAAAAGTTGGCTCAGTCAATTGCCACTTACTTGCACGGAGAAGTTGTTGGTGTTAGAAGGCGTGTACTAACTCACCGGAGGAAGTCGTTTCTGTTTAATTTCATCAAGTAAAGAGTGGGTCAGATTTAAAGTAAACAAATGTTGCTGGAATGTCGCATTAATTGACGTTCAACCCCTGAGTTCATGTTTGCAGGCAATTAAATTCAAGGTAGATAAAGCGGGTTTATTTTAACACATTGAATGATGCTGTTTGTTGCAGAGGAGTAAGAAGAGGTACTTACTCTCAGTTTGGTTCTCCGTTGGAACTGTCTTGCCCAGGTGTAGAAAACAAACTGACAATTTGCCGAGCATTGCTATTCCCGCCTAAGTGGTCTTTTCAGTCTCCCCAATCCCCAATAAAGTTTTGCCACAAAAGTGGCCCTTGAAAATGCACATTTTGTAACCAAGCAGAGAGAAGCGACAAGCGCCACTTGAAGCTGATTATTTTGGTGGCACTATCAGTCCAGCGTCAAGTGATGTCGACCAAATCTTACCAAGGAGGCTTGGGCAAAGTGAAGTGATATCGTGTACCAGTGCACACAAGACAAAGTGGCACGCAATATGAAAGACGGGAAACACCACTGCATATAATTTTAATACTTCATATGACAATCTTCAAAGTGACTTACTCTTTACTTTGTTATATTCTAAAAATCGGAATAGGCGGCCGTAGTTACCAAAATGTGGGTAAACCTTGCTACACATGGGAAAAGTAGGTGGCTGTGTTTGAAGAATCCGGATTTGTTAAAGCTCACTTATTTAACAACGCCGACTAGCAAGAGGTGGATAAGGCGTCCCCACTCACTTTTGCATTCTTCCACCTCTGGTGATATTCCTAAAGATAAAGAAATGGCCCAATATGTTACATGGAAACACGTCTTTATCTCAGCGTAATTTCTTCATCAGCAAAAAACAGCAAGGAAATTTGCGATTTGAGGACATCCCTGGCAGAGATGTAAACTAAGCGGAGGTGAGCAGTCGGTGGAGTGAAGCAACTGCAAGGACTTAGTTATCATTGCGTACCACTTTGTGAATAGTCGACGGGCACAA